GTGACAAGATGGGAACCCAGTAAACTGACAGCTATTGTGCGTATGTATGAAATAAGTCCATTCACATGCACTCCTGCTAATCCCCTGGCTATTCTAAAAAAAGGCATTTACATACATTACAGAATGAAACCCATCTGACCATCTGATGAAAGCCCTCATGCACGCCACTTCCCTGTCACGCAGCAGAGGAATCTTTAAATGCGGATTATCATTGAGAACCGTGAGGTATCCTCATTAGAAACAGCTGCAGAACGTTCTGCATGAAAAGTGGAAAACTTGTAAAGTACAAATGCTGAATAGTTTACAATCTCAATATCTTAGACCTGTCCAATCAGAAGGGTCCGTCCTCTGCTATCTGCTATAAGGCCCTACCAGGGCTGTAGTGGAGGGTAAACGCACGTAAACGCCATTTACGCACCTCTAGAATTTGGAAATAGCGTTTACGCACCTCTAAGTGGCGTTTACGCACCTCAAAGTTCCCTGCGCCTTGTATTCTTCCGTTGGAATAATCCGAAATAAACTTGGTGTAATTTTAAAACAGCTAAGACTACGTTTCCTATTGTTGAACATATAAACGCCGTAGTCTGAATCATTTTCATCTGCGCTGTATTACGGTCTGTGAGCATCCAATCAGTGCCTTGCGGCTGCAGCAGCGACACCAATCAGGATCCAGGAGGTGTGTAAACACACACACGCTGTGGATCAGCCCAGTGGTCCCCAACCTTTTTTACCTCACGGACCGGTTTCATGTCAGACAATATTTTGCGGACCAGTCGAGAACGACCGACGTGGGGGGGGTAGTAGTCGCGCGCTCTGTGTTCGCTGGTCGTGCACGGTAAAAGGACAAGAAAAACGCCTGGTGACGCGTAGATTAGAAAACAAGTCAGTTCTCAATGTGAAAAAAAACATGCTGTATAGGCTATTTATGATGACATAGGTAGTACATGAGTGTTCCTTTAACTTATGTTGTCAGTGTAATTGACAGGCTGCTTAACTGGTTAACTCTTAAATTCAACATTTTTTCAAACAGTGAGAGGACAGGCAATGATGCAGAGAGCACAGGGAGAGGAGAAACACCAGGTCCAATAGAGAGAGAAGCACAGAGGAGCCATGGCTCCTCTGTGCAAGGCAGGACCTGGCGTGGAGGACAAGGAGGCCCTCTGGGCACTACTGTGAAAAGGAGACTCCGTATGTAGATAGTTCTTAATCTGCAATTGTTGTGTTGACATACTTTTCTTTACTGTTTTCTTAAATTTAATAAACTACAAACTACTAACACATGTATTCATTGTCATTGATTGTATATGACTTTTACTGATAACATAATGCAATACAGCCAGGACAGCCTTACAGAGTCGCGACGCTTTGTGTTGCGTTGCTTCGCATTGCGTCGAGGTCTGTATGATCACAAAATTCAGTTTACCCACCTCTAATTTTACCACTACAACACTGGGCCCTACCCTTTCCGTAAGAAGTTCATTTCGTTGTGTTTTCCTATTTACCGCTTGTTTTGCACTTCAGGGCCACCGTACAAAAGGCTATTTCTCATCCGTAGTCCCAAGAAACAGATGTTACAAAAAAAACTAAAAACAGAAGATACAATTAAAAAGATCATACAATATTGAATCTATAAATATGTTAAAACGTTTTGGCATTAAGATCATTCGCTCAGGACTGGTGGGTGACCTCCAGAGCCAGCTGGCGAGGGTGATCCTACAGAGTAAATGGATTTGAAATGTTATTCAAATCTGATGAGTCTGGCAGGATAACTGGCCTTTTATCAGCTCTGTCAACATGCAGCAGAAGCGGTGATCCTTTAAACGCTCGGGACATTTTTGTGCAACCTTTATAATTCTTTGGGCATAAGAATAACACACATGCTTTAAATAAAAGAATAGTTCTATTACCAAATGGCTCTAGGAAGTTCCCCCTATCATTGATATAATTCCCTGAAGTCCAAGGAGGTTGGATATATTTTTTACAGCAACCGGATCATTTTATAGAAAAATGTGTGTCTATTCAAATATAAGATATTTGTTGGGCAGACATAGTATGTTTCATAATGGATGTTCACCTTCTCTTACAGAGAATCACACGGTCAGACTCGTGAAGCTTTAGCACGCGTTCACACAGGAACACTAAACTCTTGTATGCCTATGGCCGCCGCTTATATCTCAGACATCGGCCAATAACTCGACACGCGTGGTCACTTGTGATATCCTCTTTGTCTGGGACTGTCAATCAGAACATCAGCTGTTCTGATCAGATGGTCTTTTCTATCCAAAAGGCACAACAAAACAGTTGCATCCTTTGCATGCTGTCTCTTTTAAATATTATTTGCTCTCTACCGTCACTAAGTTAATGCTGCTAAAGGGATTACGCTTCCCTCCACCTCCCCTTCTCCGTCCAATATTCATCAGTCTCTCGGCCTCATCAGCCAACACCAGTGTCTGGACTCCACTGGGAGGGTTTATCCTGCAGATGACCATCTATTACAAATCTCCCTGTAGAGTCTGAGCACCCAGAATACTTCACATATCATTTATTAATAATAAAGAAATACCTTTCTTTATCTGACTCATCTCTCCAGATTGAACTGCATCAGTGGCTGAACTACTGCGACCTTATTTATCAGTCCACCCCACGCACTCGCCTTAAGACCCGTGGCGACCAGCACCAGAGCTGTGGATTGCTCTGCCGGCACTCCTGCTGTTTGATGAGTCTGTGACTTTGGCAACTATTTACCTTTATCAACAGAAAATAACATGATTTAGTCAGAGTATATTATCTGGACGGAAAAATAGAAGGCTCCCATGTGAGTGGCAGGATCAGGGGAATTGGTGTGGTAATTCTCATTATAGGTAAGTGTGAAACTTGATACATAGTGGGTGAGGTTGTGTATAAATAGGTTGGCAGCAATAACACATTTTAATTGTGATTAATTGCAAATGTCCCTGTTTGAGTGAGGTGAAGTGGTCCAGCACTAACTGGTCCAGCACAGCTGGAATTGACTACGCAGGGACATTTCACTTCATCTCGCCTAAATCTCTACTGGATTTCCTTTAAAGAATCCCGAACTTTGGTTCGTTCAACTCTGTAGTCTGGAACTTCGATCTCATTTTTCTGTCCCCTGCTGCAGCAGTCTTATGCCCGCCTCCTAATGAATTGCGTTAAAGTGCAATACAATTATTTTTGGTGTTGATTAATTTCCGCACTATCGATTCAGGAGGGGAATGGAGACATTTGAGAATGAATAATTCGACAACTTCCTGCTTAAGAGGCCCAGCTTCAAGTACAAAATATTATCAATGACATTACACCCACTTAAGTGAAAGAGAGAGAGAGGATGACTCTCATAGTAGGACAGCATGAGAGACAGTATGAGAGACATTGTATGAGACAGCCGTGGGACGGTGAATGCTCGGCTGCAGCGCGTGGTGTTCATCACGTTACATCATAACGGATCTTTGTGATCTCGGAAAACTCTCTGTAAAACGTTAATCTAACTGATATCCCTCCTTCCTCGATGAGGAAGAGAGCTGCCCTTTTTTCGGGGGGAGTGGCGAACTAATCCAGCTGGCTCAAATGAACCTGCGCCAGAGCAAGTTTGAGTTTTTGGATGTGTTGCTATTGGTGATTTTGCCATTTCCCTTTCTTTTTTTTCGAACCAAAAAGCCTGATCTATGTCACCTCCTCCTGAAATTGATCAGTTAGCTACGTACGAGGAGGTTGAAGTAGACTCAACTACTGGATCACATCACGCCAGTTCTCAGATCTTTGTACTGGCTTCCTGTCAAACAAAGAATTGACTTCAAAATCCTGCTGTTGGATTATAAAGCAATGAATGGTTCAGGGCCAAAGTGCATTTCTGATCTGCTGATACCTTATGAACCGCCACACACCCTTAGGTTGTCTGGGACGGGTCCACTTTCTGCTCACAGAGTTGAAACTAAACTGGGAGAAGCAGCGTTCAGTTTTTCTGCTCCACCTATCTGGAACAAAGTCATAGAACAAGTTCATTGAACCAACAAGGGACACACATGAGCTGTGTCTCTATGTTGCTAGGCTGCATCCTTAAGGACGCATTTAATATATCCTGCTCCGGAAGAGAAGCATATCTAAATTGAAATTAAATATGAAGATTATGTTCTTTATCAGTACTTTGTATTTGTTTTGGCATTTAAGGGTTTTACTGTCAAGCGCAGCAGTTTGCTAGGCTGATAACGCAGTCAGGAAGTTCCCCCATAGGCCAGACCGTCCCATTTCAGAGACCGCTCGGTTCAGCCTAGGCGGTTGTTGGAGACCCCAGTTCAGGTCAAATGCGAAGACTGGAGGCCACAAGGATGCAGCCGAGCGACATTGAGACACAGCTCTGGTTTAAATACACTGGGAAGGACACAGGTGGAAACAATCACAGACACGGCAGACCATCAGAGGATATAACACTACAGGGCAGGAAGTGAAGCTAACCCAGGTACAACAAGAGGCAGGAAACTACAAAATAAAACACGAAACAAACTAACTTTACATTTGCCTTGCCTATAGTAAATGTCTTGTAGTGTCCTACAGAGCGAGGGTGCTTTGGGCTCCCATGAGAGTCCCTTGCAGATAATGGAATTGCAATGATCTGTCGTCTGAGGTAACAGCCTTGCTGATTTAGTTATTAAACATGGAATATTCATCAATAACATCAAATGTGTGTGCAGTTCATTAACCACTGTTTAACGTGTGGTTTACTTTTTCCATTTTTTGCCTTGTTCTGTTAAGACTATGTAAAATGACTCGGCTCTGCTAACCTTTGTCAAATTGTTTGTGGATCTTTAATCCAGCCTCAGACCTGTTTATTACAGCAGCGCACTAACAGGATTTGTGATGTCAACCCTCGGGACATGGTGGCCAGCTGTTCCACCCCCTGGCGGAGGGTCAGCTCACACAAGGCCACAGATGGGTGGAGCAGGGTGGGAGGGGATGCCTGGAAAGGGAGAGTGGATCTTCTCAGCTCAGGGCAGATCGCTGCAGTGCAAGAACCAGAGGGATGCTGAGGCCGAAGGTCCTCTAAAACATCACAGAAGACTGGATATTTCTTCAGAGTTGTTGTTGTTCCATTTTTTTTTGCTCGAGTTTTCATCACACACGGATTTTAGGCTTTGGGTTGGAAACATTTATGGGCCGCAGATAGGACGCAGGACAGCTGACTCGCCATGGCTTTGGATGCAGTGTGGTTGAGGGTGAAGAACGTCTGCAAACAGAATGGGCTCCTCATCATGTCGGTGCTGGCTGTGGTCATTGGGTGTCTTTTGGGATTCTTCCTGAGGACGCGACGCCTCACGGAACAGGTCGGTTGGTCTCCTCCCCTTGACCCGGTGTGACGTCATGCAGGCAGACGGGGATCTTTTCCCACCGCCTTTAATAAATGTGGAGCTCGACACATGGGTCTTCACTTGAGTTTTTCCATTTCTGCTCCAATTGATTGCAGATGGACAATACTTTTTCCTGCAGCACTGCATTTATGAGATTAGTATTTGTCATAAAAGTTGTAAACCTTAGACCAACTTTTCACCTGTTTGAGAACCTTTTGTGTCTTGTTGGCAACCAAATGTTTCTAAGCGATCAAAGTTGGAATTAATCAAACAATTAATGTGTAAATGTGTTTGGAAGGTAAAAATTTGAGGAAGTACATAGTTTCCATCCATTTCACACTGAAAAAATAATTTTACACTTAATTTAAGTAATATATTGTCATGTTCCCTGTTATGAATTATTTAAAAAAAAGGTATATTGTTGGCCAATACATTTTCATATCACAGCAATCCATATTAACAACAAAACTGCCTGGAGGCTTAGAAAGATATGATCTAAAAGTTTATATTAGATGGATGATAACCAATTATCAATACTTGCGCTATGCAGCCAAACATGGTTTAGACCTTCATTACAGCTAGCGGTGGCTAGTTTGTCTATGGCCACTGCCTAGAAATACCCTTGAGCGTGGCAGTCTATAAGCGTAAAATTAAAACTTCCAAAGGTACATCTTTTTGTGTGTATAAGTGGCTACATTCATTTTACAATTTACAACCTGTTGTGAGCAGTGTGACCAGTTTCCCTCAGACCTGTGAGCTGAACACAAGGTGAGTTTAGCTCCAAATGGAGGCTCATGCAGTGTAGTGTGTTGTGTGAAAACATCAATGCACCAAACTAAGCTAGAAACCAACACAACCAGCAAAGTGTAAACACACAGAAGCTAATACGTGACACGGCACATTGCTCCAAAGCTTTGTGGAGGAGCTCCAAAACCAAAATGTAGCCTTATCTATTCCCATCACCCCCTCAGCCTAAAGCTCTGTCATATTCTAAAAGAGGCCTAAAAATAGCCCATACCTCTCACGATAGGGGATTACAATCCAATCAATGAAATGAATCCCTTTCTGTATGATGACAAAGTGCACAGGATCGAGGCACGGGCCTTTATGTTTCAGACAATTTCTAAAGAGGCCTGATCCCTTTGTTTTTTTGGGTGGCAAGGAGAGAGGATAGTGCATGTGTAAATGTATGAGTGTGAGTGTGTGTGTGTATGTGTGTGTTTGTGTATGAATGTGTGTTTTGCAGACCGAGGCCAAAGGCTACAGGATTAGCCCAAGTTTAACAAAAAAAACTGAATATGAATTGAAAAATGCAACAACCTGCTGAACAGTTTACGCACAAGAACAGGAATGTATTGATTAATCTATGACATAAAATAATGATTACAGTATTGCGTCCGCAGAATCCCACCATCAAATGCCAAATTCCCGGTCAGAAAATATCAGTTTAATTATGAAGTATTTGTTCAATTAAAAACACAAATCATAAAAAGCATTTTACTTTTATTTATATGAAACTATTCATGACATAGTGTGGATGCCTTTATCTGTAACCTGTTTTCTTGCTGATGGCCAACAAGACTCAATATTCTGAAGCCGTCAGGACTTTTATTATTTTTTGAAACGGATTTCCGTTCTTTTTCCGGCGATTGCCACCGAGCTAAAAGCAAAATGTCAAGTAACGGTCGCACAAAATGCAACCGCCCCAACTGGATAAATACAGTACAGCCTCTTGTACGTTATTGCTTTAATAATGCACACCCCGTGACTCACTCTCAACTTTATTATTTATTAGTATTAAAATCCTTTATTTCCACGCACAAATTCCAACATTGACCAGTACATGAAAAACGACTTTCTGGCCTTTAGTGTAACATCTTAAGCTCCAAAAATGCACATTCTACATTTTACATGCTGCAAATCCATTTTTAGATCTACAAAAGCTGTGTCTTTCCAACTATGGGCCCCCAGTTTGTAAAACAAACCCTCCCAAAGAGAGTCACCAATCAAACATATCTTTCTCCAATAACAGAGTTATCCTTCAAGACACGTTGTTTGGGATTCCATAGTGCTTGACTAACGCTAGTCGGAAGATCATCCAATTAATGTTTTATTTTGAGAAAGCAAAAACAATTCTTTATACTGTATTTTTAGCAAACCGCCAAATGAACTGAATGTCTCATCATGTTATTGAAATGTCAGACTGTGTGAAAACACAAGTCCAGATCTATAGAAGAGAATCTGAAAAGGAAGTTGGAAGTTTGCCAAAGAAAATTGGATTAATGTTTTCCTTCAGTAACCAGAATATATTTCTTTGTGCATTTCTGTCCCACCTGAAGTAGTCATTTCAAAAGGCTGTGTGAGAAAGGTGCATTAGCAGACCCATTAAATCGAGCAGTGGTGCTTGAGAGTCTTTTAGTGTCGTATGTCTTGGTTTTTTCATGCTTTCAAAAAAGTGTCATCCTGTTTCAATGGAAAAGTTGTTTAGAAGTTTTTTTGCTCAAGCTGTCCTTAAAATAAATACGGTAACCAAGGTATGTGTATTGTATCTGTTCGACCGTACTATAGAAGGTCTTTGAGATCCAATTTCTTTTCTGCCATGGAAACCGGAACCTTGGGGATTTTGGTGGTGTTTTTGTGTTTAAATCCAAGAGATGTATTGTAATCTGTATTTTAAAGTATTTTAAAACAACTTTGACATAACGGTTGTTTGAAACTGAGATAATTCAAATCAAAAATTGTATTCAACTATTTCAGTTAAACATTATGAGTGAAAAGTGAGCTGCGGTCAAGCTGCGAGGAGCCCGTGCAGACGCTGCATAGCTTCAAATGAGAGCACTTTGACCTGCAAGGGGAAAACGCACTTGTGACTCGTGCCTGAACAGGGAAAAATTGTGATTTGTATTTTTTAAAATCAAACTTGACAGCATACACCCAGTTGTTAGTGCCGTACTTTAACATTAAAAGTAGTAACTACATAATACTAATATGAATCTGTGATTACTTGTATGCTTACCACATGTTCCCAATAAGGACAACTCCAATGCATTATTGCATTATTGAGTGTATTGACATGGTTGGAAATGAATAAGAATTGCCATCATAGAATAGAGGATGGAGCAGCAGTAGTTGTTCTCTTGTTAGCAAAGGGTGACTGAAGTCCACTAATGTCAAAGAGCTGCGTAGACTGCGCCTGAGACGCAATACTTTTGTTCCTGAAAGTTGTATTGAGTGTCAAATGTGACTGAAAACCTCAAACATTCATCTCTCGGCATGAGAGATATGCTGAAGTCTGTCAGAGATTTATAATATGGATTACATAAGCAGAGGCAGCATTAGTGGGTCTGGCTTTAGCTTGTCTCCTACTGTCTTACTATTGCCTGTGGTGGAAGAATAATTCAAATCATTTAAAATAAAACCATACTGTCCAAATGCCACATTTAACATAAAAACCTTGATTAAAACCGTAATACTTAAGTTAAAGATTAAAAGCAAATGCAGCAAAATGCACTCATCAAGCAGAGTAGGCCATGCCAGTGTTATTGGGTTATTATTTATGATGTATGATTAATATTTAAGTAATCCTGCAAGCTCTGCTTCCTACACGGTTTGTTTAAACTGTAATAATACTTCATACTTTATAAACTAACCAAATGCGTAACATCTTGAAATTGACTACAAATGAATGTAGTGAAGTAAAACACATATGGCCAGTGTCAAGGTTGCGGGTGGGAGGCAGGACTCAGACGCAGAGTTTTCCAATACAAAAAGACTTTAATAGTCAAAAGGTCCAAAATCCAAGGGGCAAAAACACTCAGGCATGAAACTATGGGCATCCAAGACAAAGACAGGACATGCGTGGCTAAAGACAATGACGCGACAAGTGACACAGGAGACACACGGCTTAAATACACAAGGGAGGTGCAGGTGATTGGACACAGGTGGAAACTATTAGACGATCACAGGGGATGACGGGACAAGGCAGGAAGTGAAGTTACCCGGGGACACGAGTGGCAGAAAACTACAAAATGCAACAGGAAGTGAAACCACACCGTGACAGTACCCCCCCCTCAAGGACCGACTTCCAGGCGGCTCACACTAGAGCAAAACAAGGGGTGGGGGGGCAGGGAAACCAGAGACGTTGGTCGGACCACCCGGGAAACTCTGGCGGGCGGCCCGGTGGGTGGCCAGACGAGCGGGGAGCCTCTGGGGGTCGGCCCGGCGGGCGGTCACCAAGCCGGCTCCGGAGCGGCGACTGCAGGGCACGGAACGTCTCTAGAATGGCAGGCTTGGGGACACGGGAAACCTCTGGGGTCGGCGGCGGCAGCTCGGGGACACGGAACACCTCCGCGGTTGTCGGCGGCGGCAGCTCGGGGACACGGAACACCTCCGCGGTTGTCGCTCTCGGCTCGGGGACACGGAACACCTCCGCAGTCGTCGCCGTCGGCTCGGGGACACGAAACACCTCAGTAGTCGTCGCCGTCGGCTCGGGGACACGGAATACCTCCGTAGTCGGCTCCGTCGGCTCGGGGACACGGAACACCTCCGTAGTCGGCTCCGTCGGCTCGGGGACACGGAACACCTCCGTAGTCGGCTCCGTCGGGTCGGCGACACGGAACACCTCCGTAGTCGGCTCCAGCTCGGGGACACGGAACACCTCCGTAGTCGGCTCCAGCTCGGGGACACGGAACACCTCCGTAGTCGGCTCCAGCTCGGGGACACGGAACACCTCCGCAGTCGTCGGCTCAGCCCCCCCCATAACCCACCCCGTAGCCCCCCCCTCAAGGGCCGGATCCCAGACGGCCCTCAAATCACCAACGGGAGGGTGGGAGAGGACCATGGGATGGGAGGGAGGGAGCCTGAGTCTCGGAGCGGGGACTGGCCGAGTTGGGGGCATGGAGCGTGGGGCCGGTACTGGTCGGGTCGGGGGCATGGAGCGTGGGGCCGGTACTGGTCGGGTCGGGGGCATGGAGCGT